CGTGTCGGAATCAAGCATAGCCGTTGATCTGTCATCCAGTGGCTCTCCTGCAAAGATAACGGTTCGCCACTGGCTCTTCATCAAGACCGTAGACATTCTATCCAACGGCTCCTATCGCCCAGAGCGTCGCTGTTCATCGCCCGGCACGCCATGTGCTCTGCTCCACTTTCTGTTTTATTTTTTCTCTCTGTAATGGCTATATAGCCACCTCCCCTTCTCATTTGTGGGCATGATAATTGTAACTGGGTATAAACCCTAGCCGCCGGTGGCGTGCTTTGCTACTTTCCCCATTTTCTGCAATACAAACCCTAACGAGATCGCCTCGAATTCGTCTCTGAAGTTGCGATGTTGAGAGTTTAGCTAGCTAGTTTCTTGTCAAGTTCCTGACACGGCGGTCATCAGCTCGCAAGGCCGGTGGCCATGGCAGTTCGAATGGGAACGCCGCGCCGGCGTACCGGTTCCTCTCATGCGCCTGGTCCACCTCTAGCGTCTCGAGATCGATGGAGAAAATCCAGGTCTCCTCTTGCGGCGTAACGAGGATGTGCCTCGTAGTCGTCGCGACAATCTTTGCTGGTCGCTCGAAAAATGTCTCCTCACGCCCCGGCAACCCGCTAGTCACCTCCGGCAGCCTCACGAGCTTCTCCACCACCCACTCGCCACTGCTGTGCAGCTGCTGAAACACCGTGAGGTCATTGTTGGCCATCACGCGTACAACGCGCGCCGCGCCGTCGTCGCCGCCGATGACCCGGAAGGCTGAAGATTCCTCCGGCGTCCCCACGACGGTACACGGGAACGTGACGAGCGAGAACTGGATGGTGGCATCGTCGAGAGCCAGCACGGCGCCCTCGCGCTCCATCCGCCAGAAGAAGGACGAACGCGCGCGTCCTGTGAAGCTGATCGAACGGTACTCCGGGATGGGGACGTCTCCGCCGGACGCGCTCTCCACCAGCCGCCAGCCGCCGTCGCCGCCGGAGGAGAACACGCAGGCGCGGGGGGCGCCACGGTCATCCTCGAAAACATCGCTTTCGTAGGTCACGGCGACCACCCGAAAGTTGGACATGCCGGTGGAGCCACCACCTGCAGCAGGCTCGTCGCCGTCGAGCAGGAAGAGACCAAGGCACTGGTAGGGCCACATCTCCTCCCAGTAGAGGATCCCCTGGCACCTCCGGTTGAGCGGGTCGCAGACGAGCATGTCAGGGAAGTGGAGGTACTCGGGGTCCCCTTCCCACACTCGACCCATCCGGTAGTAGACAACGTCCCTCCTGTAGAAGAGGAGGAGGCCACCGCGGCTGTCGGCGAGCTCCCAGGGCAGTGAGCCGTGAGGGACAGCCGGGAGGAAGTCGAGGGAGAAGTGGCGCCTGTCGAGGCCGTCGGCCGCCACGGGGTCCGGCACGAAGATGTGGTGGTTGTTCCCGTCGACATGGTAGTGGCCGGCGACGCTGGATGGACGGAGGGACCGGTGGTCCGGGAACGTGGCATCGTCCGTGAAGATGAGGCGGCGCCAGCGCTTGCACGTGGACGCCGCGCGGAGGAGGGCGAGGGGCGTGGCCACGCGCAGGAGCACGAGCTCGAGGAGGTGGTCGGGGATGTGGTGCACGCCCGTTGGACCCGACGGGGTCGGCTCCGCTTCCCTCGACGGCCGCCGCGCTGTCTTGTTGCGCCGGCGGTTGCGGTTGCAGCGAGAGCGACGTGGTGCTCCCTTGGTCTTCGCCATGGACCGCGGTCTCATAAGCTGCTGGTTGAGTGGACGATCTTCTTTATAGTTCGATAAGGTGAGTGGAGTGGGTGACGCGGTTTGGACTTTGGAGTACATATGCGGTTGCGTGTCTACCACGGAGCTTTTTTTCCATTGCTTTGGAGGGAAGGCAACGAGCAACGTACTCCATCCCATGGAACTTTTCAACTGCTTTTTCTTCAGTTCAACAAAGGGAGGCGGCCCATCTCTGTGCTCATCAAGCTAGTGAGGTTCGTCGGAGATGTCTTTGGATCAACTTTGTTCCAAATTTTCTTCGTGATTGTATTACCCGCGAATGTTTTATGACTGAGTAATCTATAGAGCTCCTGAATTACAAAAAAAAAAAACAAAGGGAGGCGGCCAGCTTGCCTCCCAAGGTAGGAGTACTAGGTTGTGCGAGCTAAATCCACTCTTCTTTGCTTATCCCAAGGGCACATAAAAAAACCACGTTGCTATGGAAGCAGTCACCCTAAAGCTACATAGGCGTGCAGGAGTCTCTGGAAATCAAACAGGGTTCCAAAGTCCATACCACTCGAAAAGCTTATTAGTGGCATGTAAAAAAGCTCATAAGCCATATGTGGGTGACACATCATGTGTGAAAGTTTATTATTTGTGTGACATTCACACACCACTAGTAACCTGGTTTTACTAGTGATTTGCCCCATTTTACGCACGCCGCCAGTTATGAAAATATTAGTGTTGTGTGAGCGAATTTATACGCCACCAGTAGCAATTTGGTTATTTTTAAAAACATTGATACTAGTGGTGTGGCCTTCAATTGGGCACATCACTAGTAACTATTTGTTGATAACATAAATAACACTAGTTGACTATTGGCATGCCATCCGAGTGCAGATTTTTGGTGACCGAGTTCAGCTCGGTATTTAAAAATAATATTGTTTTTTTAAATGAAAATAAAATTCATGGAAATGTATATATGTTTAGCATGGAAAAATCTCGCCCAACAAAAAACATCAGACCATTTTGGAAATATGTATTTGTCTTTTTTGTGTATGCTCTTGTGAATGTATACTGTTAAGAACACATATATACTGTTCATGTGTATGAGTGTTAACAAAAAAAATCAATTTTTTCACGCCGTAGAAAAATGTATTTTTTTGACACGGGCACCATGGTGCATGTGCATCGTTTGCTATTTCCACATGCCATCCAACGTAGCACGCCACTAATGACAATTTGTGATTTTTTTTAAAATACACCATTTTTATATGGCACATCTGGACACCCGAATGTATACATACATTTCATCCATGCATCCCTTTTGGCTGTACATCTAATATACATTGTCAAGATCCACAAGTCGCATGCATTGTGTCGTGTAGAGGTCACCGTTGTCCTCCTCTATGGATGCCGTCATCGTTGCCGCACGTAGTAATAAGTCGCTGCCAGAGTGGCTTTTTCTTATAGTGATGCAACAATATATGGATTTTTTAATACAATGTCAAAAAAATGTTCATGTAATTCAAAAAAAATGAAGATAAAATTTAGAAAAAGGTTTTGTAACCTACATATACCAAGTGGGAACACATTACACCACAAGGAAAATGCCACTTGAGATACATGTATGCATTCATTTCATCTGATGATCCAACACAAAAAGTATGATATTTTGATTAATGCACCTAACAATTTAAAACTTTTCATGCTTTCCGAAAAAATGATCTTGATTTTTTTAAATTATACAATGTAAAAATCATTTAATTCAAAAAATGTTTCTCATAATTAGAAAATTAAGTATGATATTTAAAAAGGTTTACACATTTCAAAAGTATGTTTATACAATGTAAAAAATGAAGGGTTGGTTTTAAAAATTGTTTAACGTGTATTTGAAGAATAATATTTAACATGTATTTGTAAACTATATTCAAAAACATGTATTTGAAATTATTTACATAATGTATTTGTAAATTGTGCAACGTGTATCAAAAAATGTTACGCGTGTATAAAAATGATGTACATTGTGTATTGAAAAAGATAGAAATGTGTCAAAAAAAACCGAAGAAAACTTGTGAAAACCAAAGAAAGAAACAAAGTAAACTTAAGGGAAATAGTAATAAAAATAAAATCAAATAAAACCATAGAAAACAGAAGAAAAAAGGAAAAATAAAGACTGAATAAAACCAATGAAAACAGTGAAACGAGGTAAGGAAAAACACGTAGAAAAAAGCCTCAGGCCAGAGGCAGCTACAAATACTATGCCAGGCCACTATAATCACACCGGAAGTGATGCTACCGTGCTCTCGCAGTAGGCGAAAAATAGCCCTCGTGGTCAACCAGCGAGGCAACGACTGAAAACAAAAAGGGTAAATGGACCGGCCACTATGGCACGACTGGTCTTTTGTGTTCTTTCGCTTCTTTTAGTCGTTTTTTCTCTAAAAAACAGGCTTTTTATGGAGCTAAATATTTAAAACCCTGTTAAAGTAGATAATAATTTTTTTAATGTTCAATATAAGTTTTTAAAAATTTCATTGTATACTAAAAATTTGTTCACCGCATATTAAGAAAAGTTCATTGCATATTTGAAGAATGTTCGGTGCATATCAAAAATGGTCAATATATCTCTATCTCTACTATCTAAAAGAAACGGAACGTTCCGTTACCCCTCTTACGTTGTCCTTCTTACCTTCGCTTCGTCCGCCTCTCCCTTTTTCACGCGAGCATTAGATTTTTCTCTCCAGAAAAAAAAATCTCAAACATCTAGGGATGTCTCCTCGGTTTTCTTAGCACCTACTCCCTCCGTTCTAAATTACTTGTCTTAGATTTGTCTAGATACGGACGTATCTAGACTCATTTTAGTGCTAGATATATCCGTATCTAGACAAATCTAAGACAAGTAATTCGGAACGGAGGGAGTAGTTCGCAGTCGCCGCCGCCACCACCACGAGAGACATCGCCAACCTGCTCCGGTTCTCCCCCCTCCTCCCCGCGCGATCCGATGCCAATGAGGACGGCCGTCCTACAATCCAGTCGCGGTTGCGCGGAACCTCACCGGGACAGGACAGGAAGCGGACCGGTCACAGGACAAGCAAGAGCCCTAGGTTCGCCATCGGAGATCTCGGCACCGCAGACCGGATGCCGCCCCGACGCGCAGTCCAAATGAGTTACGGATGGTGGCCACCACTGCGCGTCCTTCTCCCCTATGCCATCCTTCTCCGACGCAGTTCCTGCAGGCCGGGATGCCGCTCCACGATGCGACATCCAAGCAGCTCATGGCCGCCACCACCACCACGCCGTCCTTCTCCCATCCCATGTACCATCCCTCTCCGGCGCCCCTCCTGCGGGCTGGGATGCCAGTCCACGACGGAAGGCCCAAGCAGCTCATGGCCTGCCGCCGTCACCACAGCGCCGTTCTTCTCCTCCGATTAATTTGCCCTCATAGCAGCGGCCGTTTTTCCGTTGCCCATTTCAGCATTGCGTGCTTTCTACCATGGATAGGAGATGGTGAGAAACTGGGCTTCTCATCACGCTTGATAGGTTGCATCGCAGGCTCTCATGTTCTATCTGTTTTCATCTCATGATGCTCTTCTTCAGTCCCTTGAGTTTAGTTAGACTTAACTCAGATTTAACTCAATGGACCGAAGGTGCTAAACACGGCTGCAAGGATTGTTTTTGATTTTCTGCATTAGAATCCATTAGATTGTTGACCAAAATCTAATGATCCGTTTACCCGGTTGCAAGGATTGTTGTTGATTTTCTGCATAAACATGGCTACAGTGTCGCTGGTAACAGGGATTTGTTGCTAAATAACGCACTTGCGATTTCCATTTGCTGATATGCATATCATTTGTAAGTCATGTGAGGCCCAGCTACATAGCAGAAAGATCCGTCTGTTCACACAGTAACAAACAGGATCAGCTGGTCTGGGTTGCAGCTAATTACAAAAAATATAGAGCTTGGGAAGCTTCTTCGCTAGGAAATTGTTGGGCGGTATTCTTCCAGGAAGCACTCCTGGTGACTGCATGATGCTTGGCCTCAGTGACATGGTAAGCTGCTTGTATTCATTTTTCATATATGCAAATATGATTTTGTGATTCTTGTACTACCAGTCTACCACTGATCCGAATATGATTTCTTACACTCATCCTTCAAGATTTCTGAAAAGTAGTACTCATTGCACGTTTGCACTTCAAAGATCTCAAACTTGTGTTGGTAACCAAAAATGTCTTTAGGCAAATTGTTGTCATCACACAATTAACTTATTAAATTGTCAGGGGTTGGATCTTATCAAATGGTTAAGTCTACTATAGGCATATATACGCTGATGCTTCTTGATTTATTTGCATATGCATCTTCACATGGAGCTGCATGTCTCAATTTAGTTATTTGTTTTGTTACTGTGAAATCTGCAGGCCGTTCCACTGACGCTTCTAGCCCTTGTACTCTCTTTTGATCACCGAAAGAACAAAGACGTGGCTGCTCGATCAGACATGTCTCCCTCCCGAAAGTGACTGAAATATGTATGGTATGCGCTAATAAGTTATGTTGTTGGCTTTGTAATTGCATCTTTACTCCGGATCTTAATTACCTCAGTCTCCCCAGCACGCTGTTGGTGTTGCCTGGTCATACGATCTCAGGTGTCTACACATTTCCCTCACTTACCCACGGAGCTATGCTTTCCTGAATTCGTCATGCCTATTTGCAAGCATCGTGCATTGCTATATCAGTCAGGGGCGGATTCAGGATTGAGCCTCGCCCCGGGCCCCAAGCTTGCTACAGAGTGAGCACAGTGCTAAACAATACCAACAGTGCTATAGTATATGAAGGAACTGCTCCTCACGCCCCAGGCCCAGGACCCCCCGGCCTGGGTCCTGGATCCGCCATCAGTTACCCCTAGAAACCTATATTTGATGTCAATATTGTTTATTTTTCTTCTTTTGGACTTGCGTTGTTCGGCTCAGGTTGCCAAAGATATTCAAGGAATTGTGAAATAAAAATAAATAATAATTTGGCCTCTTGGTCGCAACGCATGCACA